CAAGGTTAATCCACCATGTAGCATGTAGCAGAATTTTACTCCTTTATTAAAAATTTATTTTTCTAAACACAGAATACAAAATTTACCCTCTTGACCACCTTTCAGTGCACAGGTCAGTGATTTATACCTTTGTTCCTTGTCTGTTTAACTTTTTGTTTGTTTTGTTTTTTGTTTTTCTCCGGTACCGGGAACTGAACTCACGACCTTGCACTTGCCAGGCAGGCGCTTTTGCCGCTGAGCTAAATCCCCAGCCCCTGTTTAACTTTTTGAACGTTCGAGGTAGAGTTGAAGGGAAGGCTTTTAAGCAAGAAGCCAGACAATGAGAGAGGTGCTAGTGGTGTTGCTGAGTGTTTATTGTCCGAGAAAACAGCTTTGCACCAAATGGATTTCACTCCAAATTGTCCAGCTTGGGTGTCTGGGACAAGAGTGCTGGGAATACAGACAACAAGCCGTCATGCCCAGCTCCTAAAAAGGGGCTCTTAAAAGTGGTCTTGTAAGTTGTAGAAAGTAAAATCACTTGTGTTAGGAAGGCAGGTTTTAGGGTGATACTGGGCTGTCCACGGCTACTAATCATTCTGGGCAGTGCTTGTCATGTTTGCTTTACAACCCTGGCATTTTTATTTGGTCTGCAGGGTCATACGAGTTCCTCAACCGAGCCTGCAGGACTTGAAGCAGAATGAGAACTCTTCGCGCACTCCATGCGGAGCAGCAGGCGCTTGGCGGGTTTTGTTGCTGCTGCAGACGCTCAGCACCCACCACCCAGGAGCCGGAACCAGCTGCTGAGACGGCTCACTGCGGGCCCAGTGCTGCTCTGTGGGTGGGGGTGCTGGTGAGGTCCTGGGGCGCCCCAGGAGAGGCCACCCACTCTCGGTGCTCTCTGCTTCAGCTGCGAGACTTCCGGGTAACGTCAGTGCTGGGGTCCCAGGTGGAGGTTCGGAAGGAGTGGCAGAGCTTGAGGTCAGATGCTGCACTGTGAACCCCACCCCTCTTTTGTGTGGGCTGTGGGCATCCAAGATGGAGGGGGTGACCCCCTGCAGCAGAGAGATGCACCTTGGACTCACATTCAAGGGGGTTTCGTCTTTGTGCTTTGACTTTGGCAAGCACCGGAGCCCCTGATGAGGACAGCTGGGAGCTGTCATGACCTGGGAGCCCTGTGACTCCTGTGACTCCAAGCACAGTCACCTGGTGGGAGAAGCTCACCCCACTTCCCCCAGCATGCCCCAGCATGTCCCCATTCCATGCCTTTTGCCGCCCACCTTGGGCACCTCCCTGGGGTAGGTGTTCTGGGAGGCTCTGGCTGTCGTGAGGCCGCCTGTCTCCCCCTCCCAGTCTGCCGCAGTGCGGCAGACCCCTGCACTGTCCTATGAAGTGAGCCCCCCTATGTGACCCAGCCAAGCCTGGAATTCCCTGTCTGCCTTGTTTCCCAGGACTTCCTGACAGTGGCCTCGATTGGCCTCAAAGCTCAGAGCAGCCACCAGCCTAAGGACAACAGGTCTTGCAGATTCCTCTTCCTTTTTTATTGCAAATTCATTTGTTAAAAAAAAAAATGAAGCCTTTGTTCAAGGATACTAGGACGGGGGCTGCTGGCCAGGGGCAGATGGATCCCCCTGAAAGGCTCAGGGAGGGTGCCCTCTGTGGGACTATTGTCCCCCAGCCCCTCATCAGAAATGCGAAGTCTGGGGGGCTGGGGCTTGTTGGTTTCTTGAGCCTAGACTGACACATGCTATTCTGGGACAGGCGGCATGATTAGCATTTTCTAGACCACACTTGAGCCCAGGGCACTGCCATAGGAAGGCCCCAGTCTCCAACCAGGGCTGAGAGCACAGGGACCACCCAGCGAGGCAGAAGTGGGGACGTGGTCTGCCTTGCTGGCCGGTAATCTTGGAGCGTCTCCGTTGTCTTCCTCGCGCCAGGATGCAGGCTTCACTTCCGCAGCCCCACATGCCGAACAGAGGATCCTCCCGCGGGGTGGGGGTGGGGGTGAAGAATCAGGCTGCATTCTGGTCCGAGCTCCTCTCCTGACTGCTGTGTGCTCCCGTCTCTGGCTATGACCCTTCACTTCCTGTCTGAGCAGTGACGGAATCTCAGGTCGCTTCTGGCCTGGGGGTTCTGAGGCCTCTGAAGCTGGAACTTGGCCTCAACTGTGACCTTGGCAAGTCGCCGTGCTGGTCACTGTGGCCCTCTGAGGGAAGGGGAGCAGATGCTCAGTCCCTCAGTGGGCTCTGGAGTGGAGGGGCCTTTCCTTCACCCCTTGTGGATTCCACATGAAACAAAAGGCCACGGGCACAGTAGAGGAGAGAGGTGTCCCCGGCACCGCAGGAAGAGCAGTGCCACCTCACCTCTGTAGGAGAGGGGATGTAAATAAAGGCTCAGGGGAGACCAGTGAGAGAAGTGATGGTTTGGGACAAAGACTACACGTAGTGCTGACTTGTGTCCTGCCCTGTGACAGGGTTACTCTTCCCTGATCAGTGACACTCCTGGGCAGGGGCTGATGACAAGTGAGTTCCACCTGGAGGCTCTGTCTTAGGCAGAGGAGGGAGTCCAGGGTTTCAGGGGCTCCCGGGTCCTTGGGGTGGCACGTGAGGCTGGGAAGCTCGGGAACGTGGGCAGCCTTTTATCCTTTGATACTTGGCTCACGTTTGCCCTTTGTCCCGGTGGGGACAAGCCTGCGAAATGTTGGAGCAGAGGTGGCCAGCTGAGGAGGGCCACAGCTCTTCTGGGCAAGCTATGTGGGGTGCATGGTACAGGCTGGCCCACCTGACTTGCCACCAACCCTCCTCGTGCTACCCTGGGCCGCTGCCCACTCCGCTTTGTCCTGCACACGGGCAGGTGGCCCGCCCGTGTCCCTGCCGCACGGAGCCACGCTGGGTGCTGAATGTGAAGCGTGCTCTGCTGAGCCTGGTTCGGAGCCGCCTAGGGGTCCGTAGCCGGGAGACCCTTGCGGAGGTGTTCAGTGTTGCCCCAGGAGGGAAGGGAGTTCAGGCAGGCTGGGACCTGATCACCTGCCTGCCCAGCCAGGTGGACGTCCTCGGCCGGTGTCCCACCACATACCAGCGCCAGGGGGACCGGCTGCTCAAGACCAAGGACCTGGCACAGTGCTCCCTGCACTGGGCGCGCTCCCCTCTGCGCTCCCAGCCCCTGCCCGGGGTGGTAAGTGTTGCCCCCACCCTGTTCTCCACCCTCGCTGCCTCACCTGCTCACAGCCCCCCAACATGAAAGCGTCTTGGAAGCCATATATGCAGAAGGATGTGAGATGATCCCTGTTTTCCGATGACGTTTGCCTCCTCCCTCCCCGCCTCCCCCTCTGCTTGCTCCCCTTCCCTCCTCTTTCCTCTGCTCTCTTATTTCTTGAGATGGAACTTAAGGCCTTTGCATTGAGCTACATACCCAGCCCTTTTTTTTTTCAGACAGGGTCTTGCTAAGCTGCCCGAGCTAAGCTCAAGCTTGTGGCCCTCCTCCCTCAGCCTCCCAGTGCTGGGATTTCTTGAGTCCCCATATCCTTCTCACCCTGTCTGCCTCTGCCTGGTGTGTTTTTACCAGCCAAGTGAGGGTCAGGGGCTTCAAGCTCTGATTCAGCTCGCGGCCTCTCCTCTCAGACTCAAGCTGCTGCAGGTATCATGGTCCCAGCTGAGTCCCCGTGCAGCTGGGTCCTGGCCTGAGCCATGCTGTCCCTGTCCCTGCAGCAGCCTGCCCTGGCCTCCCGCCTCACCTGCCCGCAGAGCCCGGAGGCCAGCGTGCTGACAGCAGGCTCCTGTGAGGAGCTGCACACTGTGGGACCCCTCTCTGAGAAGGTGAGCACTGTGGAGATGTGGGTCATCTCTTCGCTCACCCTGCTGCACACAGAGCCCCAGGATCCGGCTGCCACAGGTGACTCAAGCCCTCTCTGGTGGCTACCAAGTAGCCACAGGTTGAGCACGGATGCGGGAACACCCAGAGGAGCCTCCTGTGGCCAGAAGGGTCTAAATCTGGCCACCTCTGAACCATCTCTGGAAATGGTTATTGTCAGGAGAGTTTTCTAGACATTTTTCCTTAACAGAAGGACGTATTAGTCAGCTTTCTGTTGCTGGAACAAATATCTGGCACTCTTAATACACTGATACATATAACCAGTGCCCTTAAAGCAGAAGAGGCTAACTTGGCCCATGGCTTTGGGGGATTCAGTCCATGGCTGTCTGGCTCCAAGGAAGGAGCAACATGGTGGTAGGGCCTGGCAGAAGAGAGCTACTTAGTTCATGGCAGTCAGGAAGCAGAGCACAGAAGAACCAGAGAGGAAGAGACCAGATTTATTCCCCAAGGTCCCTCCCCCATGACCCTCCAGACACACCCAGAAATGTGCTTTACTGATCTTCAGGGCATCTCTCAAGCCAATCAAGTTGATGATCAAGACTACCACAAAGGAGACTTTCTAGAAGTTTCTCCAGGCTCCTTCTGCTGGCTGAGGCAGCTTGGTCTTGTCCGTCCTCCCTGGGTTGTCTTCAGTGAGATGGAATCTTCTGGTTCTGAGCTTTTGTTGGGAGAATCCACTTTAAATTCAGTGACCCTTTAGTCTGCCTGTTTTGGGTATATAGTGACTCAGAATCCCTGGTTTTCCCGAAGGTTCCTGCTAACAGTAGCTTCCCAGGCACGTGACTCTTTCCTCTAAATTTGCATGTAGAGAGACAAGGCCTACACCAAGTTTAGAGACCAGATATTTCTCTGAATAATGATATAAGGATGGTTATTTGTACTGCTGACATTTTGGAGGACTTACTGTGGGCCAGTAGGTGTTCTCCTTTATGTGGATTATTTAATTCTCCTTGGGCCCCTCTAGCAAGGTATTGTTGTTACACTTTTCACGTAAGGGCACAATGGTTCAGAGAGGTAAGGTGACTTGTCCAGGGCCACACAGCGAGCAAGTGTGAGGCAGAATTGGGCTTTCAGCTCCTACAGCCTGCTCCACGGCTCTGGTGGGTGATGGCATTCACCTCAGAGGACGGACTCACTGGGCCACCTCAGGGACAGCGAAGACCAGGTGGGAGAAGACAGAAGCCTTGGGCCCTCCAGCATTGCACCTGGGTCCATGGACCACTTTCTGGGATCCTCGCTTGACCTGTCCCTCACGAGCTACACAAACTGGCAGTGGCTGGCGGTGTCCAGGAAAGCTCCAAGCACAGTGGCCCCGCAGGCTGCACTTTTCTGATGTATCCTAGTTCTGTGGTGGGGCCCAGGGGTGCTCTTCCTCGGAGCTACAGCCCCAGCCCATTTTTAAAAACTTACTGTTGAGACAGAGCCTCGCTAAGTCACTCAGACTCATCTCAGACTTTTGAGGCCCAGCCCATGGGGGACGAGTCTTGAAGGCGCAGTCCTTTGCTAAGGAGCAGGGAGCTAAGGGGTGTGGAGGAGGGGTGAGGAAGGTCTTTGGTCCGGCCAGAGCAGGGCTGGGGCAAGGTTAGCATCCCTGCTCTGTGTGGAGCAAAGCAGGGGTCAGTTTCTGCAATAATCTGTTTTTTGGAAGGGACCAGATGCACGAGAGAGACTAAGATTGGTTTTTTGGCTGAGGTGGCTTGTGACAGGGTACAAAACGACACGAAGCTAAAAGCGAGGCCCCTCTCTCTGCACCCAGCCCCGCCCCGCCCCGCCCCAGGCTGACCCCACTCCGGTGTCACGCGTGCTCCCCCATCTGTTCTGTGCACTTGTACGGCACCAGTTCCCACATCTGTTCCAGTGCTCTGTCTGCATTTTGTGTTTTTACACCACACTCTTGTGTATCATGTTCTGTGCATTTCGTGGGTGGGGACATTCCCGGGGCAGTGTGTGTCCTTTGTCCTGCTCTCATGGAAGGGCGCTCTGTTCCCTCACACGAGTGGGCTTCCGTCTGTTTGACCATCCCCAATTGCTGAGCACCTAGTTTGCTTCCTGTCTTTTGTTGCTGACGGTATCGCCACTACGATTTCTCTTGTGTGAACCCCTAACCCCCGCTGCCCAAAAGCCTGCTGAAGGGGGTGTTGGCAGGCTATGGGCAGCTCCCAGGTGGCCCCCGGCGCTCTCTGGTGTCCCCCTACATGGTCATCCTAGCCCATCCTTCCCACATCAGATCCAGAGGATGAAGACGGTGAAGATGTAACCCCGAGCAGCCTGCAGTACGAGTGGGAGGAGACGCCAGCCCAGGCCACTGTGGCAGCGGTGGAGTTACTGAGGAGGCCGTGCCCGCTCAGACCACAAGCTTTGAAGTAGGTGGTTTCTCCAGCCCTGGGCGAGAGTTGGCCATGGGCCTGGACCCCTGGAACCTCCTGTTCTTCCGCCCAGATCCTCTGCGACTCAGTCTCACGTGTGTAGTATCAGCTGCTGCGTATGTTTGGGTGGGTTGTGCGCTGCACGGTGTGCCTGGTTGTAGGCAGGGTAGGAGAAAAGATGATGCTGGTGCGGAGCCAGTGTCCCCAGGCATGTTGGACTCAAGCTGCGTGGAAGCCACTTCCAGCTGTTTGTCTTGAAGCAAACGGCAGCTCTGTTAGGTGCTTACTCTAACCTAGCCCGGTGTTCGGTCTGGAAACCTTGGGCCACGTCGAGGCCTCAGCCTTGAGGATGTCCCACACCCGTGTGAGGAACAGGTGCCTGGGTCCCTCTGTAATTCCAGCCGTTTAAGATGGGGGCAGTCGAGGCAGGGGTCACAGCCCAGGGGGGTTCTGATGCGTTGAAACTTGAGGTCGGTTGGTCCTCTGCGCCGTCCGCAGTGTTTTGAGGCCTTGCTGTGATGGTGACTTGCTGCCTTGTTCTGAGACCGGGCCCTGCGTCTGCATATAAGAGGGAGAGCTGGAGAGGGACAGTGTCACACAGTCCCTGGGAAAGTATTATTCTGTGTCATTGGACTTAGGGCCTATCCAAGATCCTTAATGTAATTACATCTGCAAAGACCCTTTTTCCAAGTAAGGGTCCCATATACAGGGTCTGATGCTTAGGACATAGACATATCTTTTTGGGGCTACCATTTAATCCACTACAGTTTTACTGAGCACTTACTATATAATTAGACAATAAGCTAATGGTCTCATTTTTATCATGTAATTTAATCCTTAGTTAAAAAAAAATATTATGTGCCCATTTTACAGATGAAGACACCGAGGCTTGTAGAATTTAAGAAATGTGCCCAAAGCTACCTAGCTAAGTCAGCTATAGAGCTGGCCTGTTAGTGAGGCAGCTGGCCCCACAGCAGGGTTTCTCAGCCTGGGTACTGCTACTATGTTGATCCTGAGCACTCTCGGGGGCGGGGGCTGGCCTGTGTGGTGCCTTGATGTTGAAGCAGCATTCCTAGCCTCTACCCACTAGATGCCAGCATCATCCCCACCCACTGCCATGACAACCAGATGCCCCTGGGGAGCACAGTTGTCCTGAGAACAGCAGTGTTCTAACCATTGCATGGCCAAACCTCTGGGACCATGGGAAACCACAGAGAGGCTGCTCCTGCCCCCTGAGCATGCGCCCTGACCCCGCCGGATGTTCTGCTGGCAGAGAGGCAGCAGGGGGTGGTTGTGTGGGGGGTACTGGAAGTGCTGGCCCCGGGGATCTGTGTGCTATGGCACCCACTGTGGGGGAACTACAGAGGA